GAAGGTGCGTGAGGGAGGGGGGCAGCCTTACTGTGCCGCAGCACTGTCGCTCGTCGTCCACGCAGCCCATCCAATGGTCCCCACATTGAGAGCCGACGTCCGCTACTTTGAGGTGGCTGATGATGGACACAGCGAGCCACAGGGATGGTTCGGCGGTGGTGCCGATCTGACACCATGCTATCTGTTCGAGGAGGACGCGATCGAGTGGCACAAGCACTGGCGAGGTGTGTGTGACAAGTACAGCCCTGACCTGTACCCGAGGTACAAGAAGTGGTGCGATGAGTATTTCTATCTGCCAGCACGACAGGAGCATCGCGGCATCGGCGGCATCTTCTTCGACGACCTTATGGACTTTTCTGACCTCCCACCGCCACCATCACCATCCCCCTCCACTTCACCGACCCCTCCCACACCACCCCTCGAATTTGTCCAGGATGTGGCTGACGGTCTCCTCGACAGCTGGCGGCCCATCGTGGACCGCCGGCGGTCACTGCCCTACACGCCGCAGCAGCGTGAGTGGCAGCTGGTGAGAAGGGGGCGGTACGTCGAGTTCAACCTGCTCTATGACAGAGGTGTGAGGTTTGGTCTGGCGCCGGGAGGGGCGATAGAGAGGGTAATAGTGTCGGCTCCGCCGCTCGTCAAGTGGAGCTACCGATATGGGGAGCCAGGGGAGGAAGAGAGGCGGCTGGTGGACGTGCTCAGGAAGCCGAGGGACTGGGCTGACGAGACGGACTGACGAATGAGGGAGTGAGGGAGTGAGTGACATACTCGGAGAGAGTGGTGAGTTGTAAATGGGAACTCTGTGTGTGTCTGTGCTGTGTCTGCCTGGATGGATGGATGGACTACTGAAGCTGTTCGTTTATTGTGTAAGGTGTGATGTGATGTCGATGTTGCAATGTGTGATTGGTCACATCATCGGTGCAATCACTCACACGTACACGCGTCTGTCTGTCTGTCTGTCTGTCCATCGACACGTAGCCGCCAACACAGACACGACACGGCGGACAGACAGTGCGGACCATGTCTATCTCTCTGTTGGCCGGAACGGTCCGTCCGTCGCCTCGCTGGCAGCGATGGATGGATGCATGAGTCCACTCGAACGAATCGCCACACACACACACAGACACACACAGTAGAGAGAGGGAGAATGGCCATCCGGACACACCTAACAATATCTCTGTCAATCTTTGTCTGTGCACGTGTGCGGTTGAGCAACCGACCATCCATCCCTTTGTCCATCCTTATCATTCTGTCGGCCGCCGTGGCCGTCTCCCATCACACAGCACAGCACAGCACACGGGTAGCTGAAGAGCCAGACAGTGTGTCGCCAGAGATCCACGGCCCATCAACACATGAATGAGATAACACGGGAACACTTAGTTGAGGAAGGAGACGGTTAACAAGACGACAAGTAAGGACAATTAGGGAGGGTGGCAAAGGACAAGTAGGCTTGTCTCTTCTTGAAGTAGTGGGATTAGGGGAGGAAGGAAGCATTGAGGAGCAATTGAGGAGATGAGGACAGCATCAGTCAGTCCATCCGAGCGGGCGAATTCACACACACCACAGCAAAGGATACACTGAGAGAGAGGGAGAGAGCGGCCAGGCAGGCAGCCTGAACGACCCGCTGTCTATCTATCTGTCTATCTTTATCTGTGTTTGTCGCGTCTCGCCAAGCCCTCAGACACCCACACATCCCCGGCAGGCACGTGTGTGTGTGTGAGTGAAGCGTAGAGTAACAGAGAGGGAGAATGGCCATACAGGCACTGCCACGTACTGTCTGTCTGTCTGTCTATCATTATCCGTGTCGGTCGCGTCGCGCAATGTGTAGACAGACATGCACACCCACACCCACACACACATCCACACGAGAGAAAAGGATCATGTCGCTTGTGTCCTGATGAGGCGTGTGGGGGGAGGGGGGAGGGGAGAGGTCATTCAGCCATCCATATATGTATTCTTATCTCTCTGTCTGTGGCCGTCACTATCACCCACCACACACCACACACCACACCACACCACACCACACCACAGCACAAACAGACGGCCACACGTCAGGAGGCCGACAAAAAATACGCAGCCAAGGCAGAAAAGTGGGTCAGGCCAATCAACACATGAATGAATGAGAACAGGAGGACGGTTAGGGACAATTGGTTAGGGAGGGAGATGCTCAGGAAGCCAACTAAGGAGGAGACGAAAGACAAGGATGCTTGTCTGTCTGCTGTAGCAGCCAGGAAGAAAATTAAGGAGACGATGAGCTGAGGAGACGATTACGGAACGAGAATGTTGAGAAAGCAGAGAGCTTTGCTATCAAAATCTGCCATACATGTGTGGTGTGTGATATGGGGCACGCACGGCACAGCCGCCAAGAGCAAAGAGAGACACACACAGATGGACAGGATACATGCGAACACTCCCTCCCTCCCTCTCCACCCAAACGCAATGCCCGTCCGTATCCCATCCCGCGTGTGTAGTGAGTGAAGCGAATGTGGTGTGTCTCCTCCCCCTCGTGTGTGTGAGTTCCGTCACCATATGTGTATCCCTCCAGGTCGATAGTTGAGATAGACAGACAGACAGACAGACACAGCACGGGCAGCACACCATCGCGGCCGCAGCCTGGCGAACAGATGCCTGCAGACAGCCAAATGGACAGAAGAGAATGAGCACTCATAGATTCATGTCTTCTCCCTCCCCTTTCCCACTACGTGTGATTCCTTTGCCCTCACCCACCGTGCAGATGGCTGGATTAGTTGTCGATCGAGATGAAGAACCACTTAAGGCGGTCGATGAGACCCTCGACGGTGGACACCACGCAGTCCCCGATGCCCTCGACCAGGTCGCACACCGCCGCACACAAGTCGCAGCAGTCGCAGTCGCCGTAGTTGGCCTGCTGGTGGTGGTGGTGAGAGAAACCTAATGGACAACACACACATAAACCACATTGACACGGACCCCTGAATGTTCGTCCATTTGGTGTTTGTGTACCTGACACGTGGCGGGCGGCAGCACATGCAGCCGGCATGATGGGGCACGGCGCCTCCGGGCGATATGCCACCACATGTGGCTGGTATGAGTACACAGCCCCTCCCAAACCCAACACACCCCTCCCCATCCCCACCCCCACCCCCACCTCTCCCTGATACTGCTGCGCATCCACCCCGCCACCGACACTGCGGTCGCTGTCGTGACGGGATGGCGGCAGCTGCGTCGAGTCGTCGCTCCCTCCGCTCACCCGCCCGCCCACACGGCCCGTCTCCTTCACACAGCCGAGCTGGGCACTCTTCCGTGCGATGCGGTCTTGGCCGTGCGTCGGGGTGGGCTCGGCTAGGGGGTGGTTCGTGTGGTTGGAGCAGAGTGGCCGGACGCGGCGGCTCCATAGCTGCAGTTTCTGCTGACCCTCATATGATCCGTAGCCCTGGGGGAAGCCGTTGGAGCAGTGGGGGGCGTGAGACATGGTGGTGCTGCTCTGCATGGCCGTCGAGTTGAGGTTGTACGGCGTCATCGGTGGTGGGCAGAGGCCGTCAATGGTCAGACCAGACGGAATATGAGACGGACGACGGACGAATCGGCCGCTGGGGACTCGACGAGCGGCTCAGTGGCGGTGTTGGGACGGCCGATATCAGCACAGCAGGCCTCCTGGTAAGGCAGAACAACGAATTCGAATTGGCGGCGGAAAAGGGCTTGACGAGCAGCCGAGACGGTTAATCACGGTCGGACCGTCGTTGGGCTCACAAGTGAGCGCCGCGATGACAGAGGGACGAGAGTTCGGTTGAATGAAGGGCACTGCTGGTCACAGAGACTCGGAAAGAGCTCTTTTGCAATGCCGACGGCGAAATGCGAGCTCAAAGGGGGCTCAGAACCATCGCGATCGGAACTGACTACCGGTCAGTGGCAACGACAGATATTCTTCGTGAACCAGGTGTGAAGCGCACCTGCGCATTAGTGCATACAGCATAGTGATCTGCGCATTATCCATCAAATCGAGCTCATCGCCAGCACGTAGCGTCGAGGTGATTCATCTTGCTCTTGTGTGAGTGTCACTGAGCAACCATGGCGTGGCGGTGTCACGGCAATACACATCGAGAGCTCATCGACAACCTGCAGAGATCCGGGTGAGGTGGCACAAAGGGACCGCCTTCAGAGATTCTATGAACGATATCTGTGGTGATCGATGGTTCAGGCTGCTCCGCACAGAGAAACTCGACAGAGGTAGGCCGACCGCATAGACGCCGACAAAGCACTGATGCCTTGCTGCTCTCTGATCGTGCATGCGGCAGATTTATGTCCGCAGATGTGACGATGCCGATCTGATGACGGCCATTCGGTGGCGGAGTGACTTCGACAAGCACGTCCTCACTGTCAACTGCGACAAGAGGGGATGGCAACGGACCCACTCTGACGATGAGTGGAACGTGTATTGGGCCAACGTCTTCTCTGTGAAGGCCCTGTTCAACCCCGAGACCACCACACAACGCCTCCGCGACGACCAGTTCGTCAACCACTTCCCCAACCACTATGAACTTACGCGCAAAGACCTCATGGTTACACACACCGATCCACACATGGATGGATGGATGGATGGATGGATGGATTGATTGATTGATTGATTGATTGATTGATTGAAACTCGGGCAAAGAGGCGCGAATGCCTCGTCTTTGTTGGTGTTGCTGTGCGCATGTCACATCAGGTCAAGAACATCCGTCGTTATAGGAAGGACTGTGACAAGGAGAGCCACATCCAGTACTACAACGCCACAGCAAATGGCAGCGCTCTCCCCACCGCGCCTCTCGCCCCCCTACACGGTAGGTACTACACTGCGTGGAGGCCACGCACACCACACCGTGCGCACGACAGACAGCACACAGAAAAAGACAGCACCCCCCATGATTTGTGTGTTGCCTGTCACTGATGGATGTGATGTGTGCAGATTTCGTGCCGACGACGTATCTGCTGCCGACGGACTACTCGTTGTTTGTGGAGGAGTTCCGCAAGAACCCCCAGACGACCTGGATCATGAAGCCCGCCAACAAGGCCCAGGGGCGGGGCATCTTCCTGGTCTCCAAGCTCACACAGCTCCGCAAGTGGGCCGCGGGAGGGGGCGGAGCGGCGGGGGCAAGCGGGACGGGCACACCCAAGGACAAGTGAGCTGCCTGCCTGTGGGAGCGAGGGAAGGACGGCAAGGCAAACACAAGGGCGGAAATGTCTGTCTGTCTGTCTGTCTGCAGGAACCCCTTCCAGGCGCTGCAGCTGCGGGAGCCGTATGTCATATCCAGGCAAGGAGGGAGAGGGGGACGGGTGGATTGTGCTCCTCTCGGGCCTTGATGCGATGCGTCCCTCGCTCCTTCACCGTGTGTGTGTTTGTGTGTGTGTTTGTCACTCACATGCATCCCCACCATACACTCATGATGGGCATGCAGGTACATTGAGCGTCCGTTGCTGATCGGGGGCAAGAAGTTCGACTTGAGGCTGTTCGTACTCGTCACCAACTTCAGGCCCATCACGGCATACCTGTGAGTGACTGACCGAGTGGAAGCGACAGATGGATTGCACTGCATTGAAGGGCCGGGTTTGGTTTCTCTCTCTGTGCTGTGTATGTGTGTGTGGAATTGTCTGTCGGTCACACACATAGGTACGAGGATGGTTTCTGTCGGTTTTGCCACGAGAACTACACGAGCGACATCACTGAGCTCGACAACCTGTTTGTCCATCTCACCAACGTCGCCGTGCAGAGAAGAGCGGTACGCATAGCATAGGCACATAAATACCGATACTCAAACACATGGACACATCACAATCACATCTCTGTGGTGGTCACATGCATGTCATGTCCAGGAGGACTACAACGAGGTGCACGGCAACAAGTGGAGCATTGCCAACCTCAGGCATCGCATGGCATCCTCGCACACAACACAACACACCAATACCATACCTGCTGTGTTGGATCTCCCTCTCTCTGTCCATGAACGTATGGACCTTTAGGCTGTGGCTGGAATGCACTCGTGGCAAGGAGCGCGCCGATCGTCTTTTTGACGAGATGAAAGAGATTGTCATCGTGTCGCTCAAAGCCGTCAAGGCAAGTTGGTTGATGCAGGCACACACACACCCACACACACACATCCACTTCTCCATGGGTCTTGAGTGGCCATCCATCTCATGTGTGGTGTGTGTCTCAGCCGCTGATGATCAACGACAAGCATTCGTTCGAGTGCTACGGCTACGACATACTCATCGATGAGACGCTCAAACCATGGTGTGTATGGTCCCTCCTGAGGCCAGCCGGCCACCCCGCAATCATATCGTGTGTGTTGTGGCTGTGGCTGTGGCTGTCTGTGCAGGCTCGTGGAGGTCAACGCCAGCCCATCGCTGTCGACCACCACTGACGTAAGCAATCCTCCATCCAGACCATAGCTACCATACCATACACAAGAGAGAGAGGGAGAAAGGCGGGCGCGGTGCAAACACACTTTCACGTCGATGAACGCCTCCTCTCTCCCTCCCTCCCTCCCTCTGGCTCTCTGTGCTGTGCTGTGTGCGTAGGAGGACCGAATGGTCAAGTTGCGTCTGATCAACGACATCCTAGATGTGGTCGTGCCGCCAAACCTCGCTGAGTCAGTCCCTAAGCCACTGGGCGCACACCCTAACAGAGCCATCCATCGATGTGTGGATGGATGGATGGCAGGGTGGGCAGCAGGGTGGGCACGTCATGGAACGACGCGCGGCAAGTCGGGGGCTTCAAAAAAATGTGTGTGGCTAGATACGATACGCACTGACTGATTGGTTGGGGTGTGTGTGTGTTGGTATGGTTGGTTCATATGGGTGTGGTGTGTGTGTGGTACAGCTTGGACGAGAGCCCACCAACAGGCGGCTCCTTCAACAGAAAACCATCCGAAGGCAAGCCAAGCCAAGCAGGCCAATGCACTGGCCGTCCGTCCGTGTCTGTCTACCGACCGTACATAATATCTATGCGTCGTGGTGTGGTGTGGTGTGCTGTCTGTCCTTATGTGCAGGGGCCCTTCAGCCGAGCAGATCACGGCTGCAGTGGTGATTGATTGGACTCAGCTATGATGTAGATAGATGCGAGTGTGTGTGCAGTGCAGTGCAGTGCAGCGCAGCGACCGCGTGTGACGTGACCTGACGTGACATGACGTCATGTGCTGTGCGTGTGAATGTGCAAATGACATTCATCGTATACATAACTTACGCGAGAGAGAGACGATCAAATGCATTTGCCATTCATCCGGCCAGTCATCACATCGACGGCGCATCACACGAAAAGGCTATGGCATACGTTAAGCCAGACTCGATCCAATCCACCCGTCCGTCCGTCCGTCCGTCTGTCACATCTGTGTGTCTGGACATCTATCTACGTCTGCAGGTCGACGTCCAGGTAGTTTTGGAAGACAGTGATGCAGTCCTTTGCGTGCATCGCCATGGGACCGAGCGACAACGGCTGCACGTCAATCCTCTCACTCACACACACCTCACGAATCGCCTGTTGATACACACACACACGAGAGATGGATGCGAAGCCTTCCCGTCCCACCCGTTTCGTTGATGTCACATGTGTGTATGCCATGACACACCCACCTGCATCTCCTCTGGCGGCACGTCGTGTTGGGCGCCGAGGAGCACAATGAGGTGCGGCCACTTGCTGCCGATGGTCATGCCGCCCCGCTGCACCCGCCCCAGCCATGTGAGCATCGGCTCCCCTCCCTCCTTCAAGACCACCAACAGCTTCCCCTCTGTGCCCTCCGGATCTATCGCCCGCACAAACCGCTGGAAGACGGCCTTGAAGGACGCACTCCCCGGCAGCCGCTCGACCGTCGCGCCCTTGACAGGGGACTCACTGGCAGTGAGGGCCTCGCGCATCAGAGATATCACTGCCTGCACGGCCACACACACACACACATGGAGAAATCACACATAAGATGGACGGTCACGTCCAGCCGCACACACCTGCTCTGTGGCGCGTTTGTTCCGGTCCCTGAGTGCGCTGTAGAACTTGTTGTCGAGCTTGAGAGTGAGTGACGGCCGCCTGTCCTCGGTCTCATCGCCAAAGACCATTGTGATGTCGGCGTTGTCGCGGACGCCGAAGGACAGACACACCGAGGCCGTGAAGCAACCAGCCAAGATGTCATTGCACTGACGGACGACACACGCAGCCAACGTTCGTGTGGCCCTCTCCCCTTCTATCTAGTCATTCCCCGGCACCCACCTGTTTGTATGGGTGTGATGGGTCAAACTTGCGGCTGTCGGCCGACCTCTCCGTGACGGGGATGAAGAAGTGGCGATGCGGACCACTTGAGGAGACCTTCTTGCTCTGCTTCTCTGGTGGGGTAGCAGCGGCTGCTGCTGCTGCTGACGTTGGTGTTGGTGCTGGTGCTGGTGTTGCCGCCACAGGGTTGTCAGGTCCGTGCTCCACCTCCATATCTTGGGCGGACACTGCATACATATACAATACATGACAGTGCATGACAAACGAGCGAGACCAGGAGAGACGATTGATTTGTACTCATATGCATCCGAATGCGCCCCAGAGAGATGTCTGTCTGTCTGTCTGTCTGTCTGTCTGCTTTTTGTTTACCCTTTTCTGCCTTGAGTCGTGCCTTGAGCTGCTGCCGTGCCTCCTTGTGGCGCGAGACCTTCCATGGTTTGCCCTTGAGGGCCTTCTTCTGCCGCTGGTAATCCAGCGTGCGGGTCACCTTCGCGTTACGACCCATCTCGGCTGTCGCGCTGGGCAGAGCAGCCAAATGGATGGATGCCTGGACGGGATCAAGACGCGAGGGAAGGTTCAAGAGTCTTGTTGACGTCGACACTCGACTCGCCTGTTTGCTGGATCTGCTTCAGGATACCGTCCCGCGCGGGTTGTGACCGTGGCGAGTCTTCTTCTCGACGAGCAGCTGCAGGCTGAGCTCGCATTGTGGATCGTTTTCAAGCTCGCAGCGGTTCTGTCGCCCAGAGGCCCTTCCCTTCCATCGTGGATCTATGGCACAATTGAGCCAGCTGCATTGATTCTGACGCCCCCCATGCCGACGATAAATGGGTGGATCCATAATGGCGATGCTGCTGCAGATCCACGCTGCGGCGCATCTTGCTCATCCAGGAGTGCTATACCCTTCCCCGCGCTTCGCGTGTTCCTCTGCACCGTCTCCGCTTTCCTGTTCCGCTGCTCCCTGGCGGCCGATGTGCGTCTGGTCGTGACGACAGCGTCCGGCAGCCGATATCTGGATCACAAGCAGCTGATCACCCTGTCCCCTCACGACACGTTGGTCCGGTCCCTCAAGGCAGCCATCGAACAGAGCTACCCCGGGAAACCGCCTGCGACACTCCAGCGGCTGTTTGTGGGCAGCCAGGCCCTGAAGGATGACGACATGGACCTCGCGGATGTGATTGACGACCTGTCAGCGGACGAGCCTGCCACGGTGCTGCTGGACATGGTGCCGCCCGTCGATCAGACACAAGGCAAGATGGTGGTGTCGAAGATGAACGAGGAGGAGAAGCGGGCTGCGTTGTCGGCTCACCTGGCTGCCCTGCAGTACTATGCCGCACTGTGGCGGCGGGCCAGCGGTGCTGACAGTGGAGAGGACGTGTCGGACACCGATGGTCTGGGGGATGAGCTAAAGGGCGACGAGTCGTCAGGCGTCATGCTCATCGCCCGTTTTCGCGACACCTATCGTGCTCTCGAGGAAGCTATGGAGCAGCAACACATGACCAAGCAGAAGAAGGCAAGACCGCCCACAAGTCCTGAGGGCAGCCAGCAGAATGAAGAAGGCGAGAGCACCGACCATCCCACCGCTCCCCCGCCCCTCCAGGCCTTCCCAGAAGCAGTGGTGCACTACCCCAGGCGGCCCCGATCGCTGCAAGGGCGGCTGCATCGGTTTGTGCAGCTGAATCTGGACATCCACTGGGCGTCGACCATTCGCCTGGCGGCCCTACTGCTGGTGCTGTGGCGGTTCGGCCCTTCTGGGGGATCATCGTCGGGCAGCACACCCAGCGAGGAGCAGAAGCGCCGTCTGTTCCTTATGTGCGTGCCGCTGGTGTTTCTGGTGCAGTCGCGGCCCGTCAAGTTCCTCGCCAAGCTGCTGTTCAACCTCATCCCGCCATCGAGCTACTGGGACGGGGTGGCCTCGCTGCTGCCGGCGCCGCAACAGGAGCTGCTCACATTCAACCAAGACAAGTTCGTCGAGAGGCTTGCCAACGACCCTGAGGCGCCTCCACCACCGAGAGGGCGGATGATGAGAGGCACGTAGCTGAATGAATGGATGGATGAATGTGAAATGGTTTGTGTGTGAGCGGATCGGATGTGCGAGAGCGGCCTGTTGGTCTGGTGTGGTTTCATGTGAGTGCGGCATTGCACTGTCAGTCAGTCACTGAAGGACCAGCGAGCAAGTCATTCATTCATTCATCGATCGATTCATTCACGTATTCAATCCATGAATGGGTCATCTCATTGATGGACAGCCACGCAAGCAAGCCAACCAGACGGCCACACATCCTTGCTACCTGCTTCTCAAGCACTCGCTCGCTTCACTGGTTGGCCTCCCCCTCTCCCGCGCCCTCTCCCTCTCTTTCTCCCTCTCCCCCCCCTTTGCCATTGTTGTCCTCTCCCTGGCCCTCCTTCTTGCCGTCCTTAGCCTTGCCCCTCTCCCTGGCCTTCCTCCCGCCGCTCCCGCGCTTCCGTTTTTTCTTCTTCTCATTGACCTTCTTGGCTCCCTTCCCACCCGCCGCCCTCTTGAGGCCGTCGAAGTTGTATCGCATCACGTTGTTGACGCTCGCCGAGAACGGACCCACCCTCTCGCTGGGCACGATGCACGAGATGGTCCGGGAGCCGTCCGATGCGCGGATGATGCATGAGGGCGGCGCCATGGCGAGGGCCTCCGGGTCGACGGGCTTGCGCTTCTTGTGCTGGACGTTCTCGAAGTGCTGTTTGCACCACAGCCACACGCTGCCCTGTGTGCGTGTCTTGGCATAGAGCTTGCCGAGCTCCACAAGGAAGGCCTCTTCATCGATGAACTGGGGCATCGCCGATAGATAGATAGATGGACCGGATGAAGGGGGATGGGTGGTAAGTGAAGGGAGGATGCGCGATTTGATGGGCCTGCACCACGCCACACAACACTCGAGAAGATCAAGTGCTCACTCACTTCATTCGTGAGTGACACAGCGACCTTTGCGCACCAGATCTCAGTCTTCCATCGTCACGGCATCGGGAAGGTTGGTTGGGTGTCGTTTCTCCGCTTGCCTTTGGTCAATTTTGCGAGCTAAGAGAGCAAACCCTAGACCCTAGACCCTCTAGAGGCTGCTGCGGCCCAGTGCCACCGTCAAGTATGGTGGTGATAATGCTCTGCATCAAAGCTGACCTTGAGAACGTCGAGAGCTTCTCCGTCCCGAGGGAGCACATCTGGTGCCTCGACGGTGGGCGCACTGATGGAACACAAAGCAATCCTTATCCATCCATCCATCCATGCAGATGTGTGCTGCTTCACCTGCCTCTCGCTTTGATGTGCAGTGAAGCAGTCGAGCGGCGAGGAGATGCGGGAGCGCATCACCGTCAACCCACTAGGTCAGCCCAGACACTGCAAATGAAGCAAGCGTCCAGGCCCGCCCATTCCAGCCGCTTGTGCGTGTATGTGTGTTACGCTGACTGCAGATGAGTTCGAGATGGCGGGCAGCCGAGGGTGGGCCAATCGATGAGCGAACAGATGTCTGTCGCTTTCATTCAAAGTGCTGCCTGCATATGCGTCACTCTTTCTTTCAGCACGTGCAACTTTGTGGTTCGGTGGGGCGGCAAGAGCCAGTCCAGCATGAATGTCCAACACGTGAGGGAGGGAGGGAATCACTCACTAAAATGGCCCGTCTGCCTGTCTTGGGCTGTATGCATTTCATTCCATCGATGGATGCATCTCTCTCATCTGTGTGTGCATCAATCAGATCAAGGGTGTGACGCGCGACTACACGGCCGATGACTCGGGCAAGGAGGTGCCCATCGTCGCATTCGAATGCAGAGGGTACGCCACGCCAGGCCAGGCCAGCCAGCCAGCAGACGGCTTCGATTCACGTGCGTTGAATCATGGGTGTTGGTTGGTTGGTGTCAGTGTTGAGCCGGTGGTGTGGCATCCTCAGGGCGGCTATACCGTCAAGAGCACCGGCGGCAAAGTATTCCAGGTCCCGCACAGCACACGCCCTCACCGACACGCAGGCAGCGTGTGCCAAATCTGAATGTGTGACACTGTGTGTGTGTCTATCAGGATATCGAGTTCGACAACACGGAGTGGTGCGACTACGATGAGGTGCGTGGCGTGGGTCAGTCAGCAACGATTGTGACTCGTTCCGTCAGCGATTCCTTCATTCATTCATTCATTCGTGCGTGTGTGCGTGCGGGTTCTCTCGTGTGATTGATGTATTGATATCAGAACAAGGACCTCTCCGTAGGCATCTATAACCTTTCGGTAAGACACACACACACACACGTACCCGACACGGGCATGGGATGGATGGATGGATGGATGCGTTGCGTTGTGTGATTGCTGTTGGTTGCTGTCTGTGTGGTCAGCATTCGTTCAAGGTCCACAGGTCATGATGCACAGGTAGGTAGGTACCTTCACACATGTCTGGCCGCCATGTGTGTGGCTGTGGCTGGCTGCTCTGTGACATGGCGGGGCAAGGTAGGCAGGGAGGCAGGAGG